GCCACAATTTCTAATTAAAAAACACCAATATTGTTTTGCAATAAATAATCTCAAGCATTAAATTAGCTAATAAGTAATTCAAATATATAGATTTGCAATAAACATCAAAAGATAGTATGTCTTGTGTACATATATACACATACTTATAAAGCAATATTCTAAATATGTGTACACAATAGTTCAAAAAGTACTCTTACAATAGTTCAATTTATTCTAGCAATGAATATATTTCACAAAATCAAATATAATGTATTCAAACTTTTACAATAGTTCAAAAACTCTTCATCATCCACTTCAATGAGATCAAATTGACTTGTGGCGACCCTTCAAATTTGATCACCTCCATTTCCCTACACATTTAAAATGAAATTAAAAATCAAAACAACCATGTACAACAAATCAGATTGTAGCAGTTTCAGATTGCAGATTGCAGACCGCATATTTTTTTAGTTCAGGCAGCACAATGTATTCTAGCAGATTGCAGATTTTTTGAGTTCAGATTGCAGCACTGTGTAAAGATTTTTTGAGTTCAGATTGCAGGTTCAGGTATTCTAGCATATTGCAGATCCAGTATATGCTTGGAACACAAAAACATGAATATACCTAAGCATATAAATTGAGCTGATAAAGATAAACAAAATGAGGAGAGGTAAACTAAAACAGTTTGTGCCTGTTCAGATTGCAGATTCAGGTATTCTAGCAGATTTTTTGAGTTAAGATTTCTTTCTTTATAAGAAGATAAAATGAAACTGTTTAGGACTAAAATAATCACTTTTCTACAATTCTATGACCATAAGTGAAGTTTAAGAAGGTAAGAGTATACACAGACCTACCATCTCATGAAAGTTACACCATATAAATATATGAAGAATTAATATAATCCAACTACCACACATTAAGGACCAATTTAATCATTTTGTCATTCTATAAAAATAATACAGACCTTTTTAATAGAAACATTTAGTGGGCTTATACAGCTTAAACAGAACAAGAGAGGTAAACTAAAACAGTCTGTGCTCTTAGACACAGAACATACCTTCAGTTTATGACGAACGTTGTTCAAGCTCTTTTTCCTCTCCTCTGTGATGAAGGAACATATGATTTAGAGGATTTAAGAACTAGAAATCGAAAACTATGATACCTTTCAATGTCTACTAGTATGACGATTAGTCCATATTAACTATAGCCAAATGAGAGGAAACTATTTTTGAACTGAAGCCTATTCTGTTTTCCATAACAATGTGATGGACTGTGTCACTATAAAAAACTTAAGTCCATATTGTTTTTTACCTCACTACCATAACAATTAACAATAAAAGAAAAAGTAGCAGATACATACGATCAACTGTAACTTTATGACTACTTATCGGCCATCTACTAACAGAGCTCAGTTCTATGACACCTTTTTCTGCCTCATAAAAGAATTTCCTTGCCCTCTGAATTTGCTTCTTCATAAAAATCCTCCACTCATCAGTCACTCTTCCAGCAAAAATGTCTTCATCGGAGAGCCCTGCCTGTGCTAACTCATCTTGAGGTACTAGATGATTCATTGCCCGTGCGCAACAATTTAGCTTTATAAGTTTCATAAGAGCAAGCTATTGCACTGAACCTAGATGAGTGTAGGACAACTGAAATTCATATACACGAATAAGTAGCAAAAAGTAGCCGTTACTTCAATGACACCAAAGAGACCATATTTTGTTTCTATGCATTTTACACGCACTGAATTTTCAGGCCTTCAAATGACATCAACAAAAAAAATTTAGGAAAAGCAAAACTACATGTACATAAATCCTAGATTACTTTCAGCGGATGCAATTTTTAACATTTGTGATCTTCTCCCGTTTGTTTCTCTGGCCACAAGTATTGTTTCTTAGTGTTATATTCTTTCTTTTGAAGCATATGTATTCACATAGTAGTCTTGTCTAAATTCATTACTTGTTATGTTTTGACAAAAAATACTTATTGAAGATTGTGTAGCCTCTAAAATAGTTGGTAGCTATTTTAGAGGCTTTCCTGAAATGAGCAAACGAATTTCTTAGAAGGTGTTGCATCATAAACGAATAATAACATGAGTGTAATTATACTTGTGCTTATTTCTCACTCATAGTTCGGAAAGCAGGAAACTTATATGATTGAGAGTACCTGCATTTGTCATTTACATGCCAATCAACAGAACTATTGCTTCACATATTAGTTTTATGTTCCAGAAAAGGATGATATGTATAAATTTCTCTATATAATTGCGTAAGGCATCATTTACATTGCACTGCCAGGTAAAACCACTTGCAGGTACATAAACAAATGTTCAAAAGATGCTATATCTAAATATGGCATATTTCAACAATACAATATATTCACAGATTATATGAATGACCCAGAAATTAAGTGGAAGACGTTATTAAAACAACTACCTACTTGCAGATTTAGTGACTTGATTATTTAGAACCTTTAAGGTGGAATTAGTGAAAGCTTCAGTATCCATCATGCCATGAAAGGAACTATAATTTATTTATTGTGATGAAGCAGGTGTGGACAAGTTTAAGCCTAGAACAAACTAATTAAAAGGTTAAAAATATTATCCTAAATTTACTCTCCAAGTGTGGACAGGTTGCCATCACTGAACATGTCGGTTAATTCTTTCTTTTAAGTTCGAAGAGCCGACTAACTTCATCTAAAGTTTCCAGGAAAATAGAATAAGAGTTCACCAACTAATGGTAAGCTAAGTTACACATGAATTTAAGATATACAAGGACCCAATTCAATAACAATTTGAGGAAGAAATTAGGCCTTCACAAGTTACGGAAAGTTGAAAAAGAGCAACAACCAAGCAGGCATAGGAAAGCATTTATATATATCATATAGAAGTTCTATTGCATAAAGATTTACCTCATCATTAGTTCGTCCAAGTGCTATAAGTGGCGCCACACCTCCTCCTCATGTGATGGTGATACTATTGCAGGATTCAATAATCATGAATTGGATTAATCACAAAACATTCTGATGGGATTGATCGTCATTCATCTTTCTTACAAAGTAATCGATGTATGTGCAAGGTGTATAAGCTAGCATTCTCCACTTCAATGTGGTTAGTACCAAAAGTTCCATTCTTTGTATAGTTTTGCCTTCAAACACAAAATTTGGATTCCCAACTTGTTTCATAAACTCGAGATTTTACTACACAATCTAGTTCAAAAAATATATAAATTGTTAACATGACAAACATGTAAAGAACTTTATCTTGCTCAGACTCTCTAAAAATGTTGTCGCACCCGTGTTGGATCCTCAAAAAATATACTACATTTGGAGGATCCAACACACACCTGACGACATTTTTGATGGGTCCAAGCAACATAGGTAAGGAACGAATGAAATTATTCATCACCTACAAATCAACAATCAAAGGAACATGAATCTTTCCATTTTGGCTGCAATTGATAGGCAGGCTACAACTAACAGTTGAGCTGCTCATGTTTTACCTCTCTATATATATCCAAGAAATGTAAATCAACAGAATGCAGACAATCAGCTAGTTATCAAACTTCAAACACTCTGAAACGAAATGCTACGATGAACTATGTTACTCGGACCCTTTAAAAATACTGCAGGCAGCACCAGTGTTGAATCCTCTTAAGTGCATAGCTTTTGGAAGATCCGACACACATTGAACAGAACAATATTCTAAGTCTGAGCAACATTGATTGTGAACTTACATGCAATTCATAACAGAAACCAACACAAGTAATTAATGGACAAACAAAAACTCAGCTTCCCATATACGAAGTGCATACCAACCTGCGAAGTTGCAACGTGGCTAAGAAAATAACTTAAGGAATAAATGAATTTCATATTCAGTTAGCATGATGCAAAGTTCAGGGTCTAGCGGTTCAAGTTATACTCATCCCCGTCCAGTTTCTGCTGGCATATATGCAGTTGATATTGCTTAAGAAGTTACAAAAAAATAACACCAACCAGTTAAAAATCTTCGAGTGTGTAATTGACTTCTAAATTGTCAAATATGCAGCCCCTCGCCTATAATAACCCTGCAACCCCGATCAAAACCTACTGCAGTAGCATAAACAACTAACACAACAAAGAAAGCACAACTCATTGTAACAATTCAAAATTAACTTACGAATAATTAAAATCAAAGAAGAAGATGGGTGAGGAAAAAAGATTGCCTTAAAATTGCAAAAATACTTGAAGTAATTGAAGATGTAAAGCTTGAGGAGATGAAACATTGAGGAAATTCGTCTTTTGTGTTGATGTGAAATGATATGAAGATGAAACGTGAAAGTGATGAAGATTGGTGGAAGCCTGCCACACACAATCATTGGACAACCACGTGGAGTAATATAAAGGTAGAGCAACAACTTGCAATTACTATATCTGAAACAAAAAGAATGGCAAAGTCGCCTGTGACTTTTTCGAAACAAAATGGAGCAATAGGCATTACACTGTACTTTATATATACGAAATAGACTACGCTTTCGATATATTTTGGCATGTTATTAGAGAAATGATCAATGTGAATTAAATATAGCTTCATACTTACACTTCTCCTACATCTCTGAGTATATTGGTTAGTTGAGTTGCGATCCCTAAAGCCAAAGTTGCATTATATACACTCTCTGTTGTTGCCTTTGATTAAGGTGCAATGCCCATAACTGGAACACTCATTAATCCTATTGTACCAGCGACATAGTAACAATAGAGATATAGCTCATCGAAGTTGTTGTATCAGAATTTCCACAAGTCCATACGCATTCCTTCGACCATATCTCTGAATGGCATAACCAGTTAGATGAATTATCAGACACTTCACATAGTTTCAAGTAAGAGATCGAGGTTATTAAACACAAAATAAATGTCAGCCACCAGTGATAGCAAATGAAAACTAGTTGCCTAATTTGCTAATCAAATAAAAAATATAAGTAGTTAATGATATTAGAAAGAGATATAAATACAAAGAAGAGAAGTATCGAATTCCACAAGTACTTGCATCGGAAAAGCTCTCAGCCAAAAAGAATAGAATCTGAATCTGGAGAAGATAATGGTGATAGAATTAGAGAGACTAACCTGAATATCAACAGGTAATCTAGAAACAGTATCGGATAAGGCTGCATCAAGCAAATCAAATAGCCGCCCGTTAAAAAATATCTTCCAGACTTGCCTCACACCTATCTAAAGCTTCCGGAGTTATGTGTGACGCATTAGGGCCATCAACAAGCTCATCAATTCTCATGCACCACACTATTTAAAAAGAACACAACTTTTCAAACAACAAGGTCATTTAAAAATACTCTAAGACAACAATCGTTGTCAATTTCCCCAAGATTCTTAACTTGCTTGAACTACAAATTAATTTAACGAGCAAGCCAGAAACACCACATGTTTTTTCAATCTTAAGTGGAAATTTCTCATTGGCATGATCTAGTCCTTCTTGGAAACGTGAATACATGAAGCACCAAAAGTACCGATATACCATAATTGATTATGCACAAACCTAGACCACACTTTTAAGACTGCCAAACAAAATGGTAAAGAGTATCAGATCACCAGTTTTACACCTAGAGACCAGAATGTTGTAAGTGGGAAGTGCCCATAATGTTAAATTATCTTAATGCTACTTTCATTAACCTTTTGGACTGTATAACAACATAATGTTTTGGTACATAAAGAGCATAACTACCGGCCAGCGAAAAGTTGAAATTATGTCAAAGATTCCCAAGAAAGCTGATAAAACAAACAGTTAGCATGTTACACTTCTGTGGATCCAGTCTAATAATTTAGCACTTCTTCCACTAATTCAAACTCTTATGAGGCGTATGTCTGTAGAAAAGTGTCAGCGTGCTGCTGCAGACACTTTAGCAGACATTGTTCCTAGAACTAAATTGTTTATGTTTTCATTGCTAGTAACTACCAACCAACTTTTGTGCACAACCCCAAAATCAAAACAACTGCCAACTAATAGCAAATAATATTGCGTATATAGGTCAAAAATAACTTTTTAGATATATATCCTGAAGTTTTGAACACCCTTAAGCAAAATTCTTAGCTTCGTATCCAACAGTTGCAAGCACATATTACCTTAAAAGGGAAGTCAATTGAGTCTAAAACTACAATCAGAAAGTAAATTATGGAAGATCTAACACATCAAGAAACCAAATACCCATCAGATCTACTACAAACTACATCTGAAATTCCCAAAGTAATCCGGCAAAACACCACACAGAGATACTCACATTGTGTAAACCAATCATTCAGATTAGGGCTTTGCAATTCTAGAAACATAAAGCACGTTTTATTCCCAACTCTCAATACATAGACTCACTATAAAATTTCCAAAAAAATACACCAGATCAAAGAAGAATGACTCACCAAAACAATACAGATCTTCTCAAACATAAACAAAGTATGTTCAAACTTAGCTTGGAGAGAAAATTGTGTGCTTCAAATTGACAGAATATTTTTCTAAATTACCTGACGGAAATTTTCAGCGAGAATTAGGACGGAAATCTTCAGCGACAACTAGAGACCATCAGCGAGAACTAGAGCTCTTCATCCCCAGCTCTTCAGCGTGTTCTTCAGCTCCAGGTGTTCTACAGCTCTTCACTTTGACCGAATTTTTTTTATTTGGAGGAAAGGAAAATTTTAATGTTTTATGAATATATTTTTTTGCCCAATTAAAATGGGAGGTAGAGTTAAAAATGTTGGAGGGAATATAATATTTTAGTGAACATTTTAAGGCTACATTTGTAATGTGTTGTTTTTACAATTATAAAAATAGGACACTTTAAAAGTGTGGCAATATATGTAAATAATTGTTGCCAATTATATCATACTGTAACAACGCTTATAAAGTGTAGCTTATACCATTAAACAGTACACTTTACAAGTGTTACCAATAAAATCGAAGCTAAAAGTTAAAAACTTGGGCTACGCTTTAAAAGCGTTCCCAAAAGTAGTTTAGGCAACACTTTAAAAGTGTTGTCCAGAATTAGTGTGGCCGTAGGCCTAAAATGTTGTAGTGAGCTTAAGGCAGCAATTCGCAACCTGATCAATGTTAGGAGGATCCCGTATATGTGGGGTGAGAACATCGTCCTTACCTGTAACCAACCGGATCCCAGTATGCCGGTCACTTAGCACATTTTGTTTTATTGCCACTACTTCACGCCTTTTAAGAAAACGTTATTGGATATCTACAGTCAGTTAGTTCAAAAAGAGGTCTTGGCCTCTATCAGAAAGGATGACGAAGCAATCGATCCCATTGGAATTGAAATCTGGAAACCCTGCCCTTATCATGACGCCATAGATCACAACATTGGAAGGTGCCTCGGGTTTTGCTATGACGTGGAATCCCTCATCAACATGGAAAAGATTCAAGTTGAGTTTACCCCCCGTGATTAATACAACAGTCAGAAGAAGAAGCTTTGATGAAGGCATCATCTATCTTTTAGGAGCTTTATTATATGTTTTTTTTACTTTCCTTGTAATCTTCAAGAAATGAATGAATGAAAATGAGAAATTTCTCTTGTATTCGAACTACGTAGGGCCTGAATTCTCCTTGGGAGATACGTAGCCAGCCATTCAAAGCACGGCCCCTATCTCTTTAAAATTTTCTTTTCACTATTTCATTCTACAAGAAAACATTGAATTCACATCAACAGATGCCGAGAGATGCAACAAGAAGACCTTAGCTCAACGCAATTTAACCTTTCTGAGTCACTAGCCTCATAATAAAATGAGCAAATTCCTGCTTATTCAAAAAATCAGTCTCCATTATTTGTGGGTTAACATGTTCTCAAACGAAGCAACTCTTATGTGTTTATCTGCCCTCTATATGATATTTTGCACCATATTGCCATGAATAAAAACTAACATATATGCCTTTGAGTTGTTTTTCCTCTACAAGTACTTAGAACTGGTCTGTGTCGATAAGCCGGTTGATCATCCCTATTTTACAAGATCAAAAGCTCCTAAGGATTTCTTCCCCGGTCAGAATTCTTGAAAAGGAAAATCAGCAATGAGTGATAACAATGAAGAGATTGGCCTTACCGATGTTGTCGTGGATCAGCCTGTTATTGCTGACCAGAACGAGCTAATAATGCAGTTGATGCAGCAGATCATCGAGATGAGGGTCAAAATGCAGAGAAGCCAAGATCTGCCTAATCCGATTGTTGTTTTCAATGCTCCAGCAAACGGAAGGCCTCCACTACACTTTCCTCCTTCAAACGCAGAATAATCCCAAAACCCACCCTCCAAACCTGCTCAGAATCCCTCAACCATCGACCTAACCACCCAAAATCCCCATTATGGCTCCGCCTCTTACCAAACACCACCTCCTCCTCAAAGTAC